ATGAATTTAAACGCATTACTAGATTAGCAGCAGTGTCACATTATTTTAAAGATGAAATGGCTAGATATAACTAAGTTCTATGGTAACAGTCTACTATCGAACTTCTCGCTTGTGGAACTCTTCCGGCTTCTTGCTTTCCTAGTCAAGTTTGATCTTCAAAAATTTAAGCGCAATGTCAATCGTTATTTTCTGTCTTAATTCTTGTTCTTTCATTATTCTCTTTCCCCGTTGGTATTTTTCCTTATAATCTAACACTCAATAACCCTTACGTTTCAGTGGTAGTATTGCCTTGCTTGGGGTGAAAACATTGAACAAAATAACAAAAAATAATAGTATATTTAAATTAAATAAAGATCAATTTTATGTGCAGTTTAACATCTTTAATGAAGAAATGTAGTTTTATGATCAATGATACGAGAGTTAATATTTGCTTGTTAGTTGTGAAGAGCGGCGTCTATTTGGTTCAGTCGGTTTCTAATGTGTCAATGAGTACAGAAACCTAGAAAGAAGCACTGACTTAGAAAAGAACAAATCTCAGTGAAGCAAGATTGAATAGAAAATTCTGGCCGTTGTGTTGTCATCTGACTGGTTAATTCGCACGAGTTAAAATTCGTGTGTTGGCCAATAATAAAAGAGAGATAGAGAGGGGGGTTGATTTAGGTGGGTACTTCGGCATTTTGTTTTAATTTTTCCGACAACCGTATTTAATTACATTCGATAGCGGCCCCGCGGGTGTTTCGACGTGATGCAATGTTTAGCAAGCTTGGTCTCGCTAGATCAGTTACAATTGAGTAGGGAGTTCGAGCCTAGCTGGGTGCCCCATATTTTCAGTCTTGTGCCACAACTAAGCTACGCTTAGTAAGTGACTTTGGGTACTCTGACGTGGTGAAAAAGCTTATTTCACGAATGATTTCGACCGAGTAACGAATTCGATTCTCACGGGGAGCTCCATAATGGTGTCACATCTAAGTTACTATATTCAATAGCGGCCTGAGGACACAACGACGTGGCGTAATAGTATGCTTGTCTCCTAAATTAATTACGACTAAATAGCGAGTTCGATCCTCACTGGGTGGCCGATACTTTCGGCCTTGTGCTATATCTAAGCTACGCTTAGAAAATCGCTATAAAGGTTAGCAAATTTGTTTCCCGAGATAAATTTCGACCAAGTAATGTGTTCGATCCTCACTAGGTACTCCATGCTTGTGGCCTTGTGCCACATCTAAGATACGCTTAGTAACTTACTACATTCAATGGCAGTCTGAGGGCATTTTAATATTGTATAATAATTAGTAAGGTTGTTTCGCTTGATAAATTACGACCGAGTAGTGAGTTCGATCCACACAAATTTCTTCATACTTGTGACCTTGTGTCATATCTAAGCTAGGCTTAATATGTAACTATTCAATTCATAATGACAAAGATATTTTTCCAGTCTTGTATATGAAATTGATGCATATGTCATCTAATGCTAACCAGACGCCGAGTACTTCACCTCACCTAACTCCATCATACCATAATATTAAACGGTAAAGGAGAAGGTCCTATATCTCATGATGTTCTGGTTTCATGGATAGGGTCTCCGAATGAGAAATTTTACTTTTTTTTTTTCGTCGAAACATTCTCCAGGCCCACTGCTGAGTAGATGGTTAGAATCGAAAATAAAAAAAATAAGGCTTTGGCGGAATTCAAGTTCATGAAATTTTTTTCTCAAGACATATTAACGCCCAGACACTAAGCCGCGAGAACAGAGGAGTGGGGGGTGCAAATGAAAAATTCTAAACTATAAAAAAAATGACTATTCTGCTAGTAGGAGTACGATTAAATTCTGTTTTATTAGATGAAGCATTATCATCGAATAAAATAATTAAAATCAAGTAAAACGTAAAATGCCAGTAAATACTAGTGGAAAAACAATACTAACTGACAACGCTCCCTCTAATAATTACTATTGCAAATATGTATTTTCTTGCTCATAAATGATCACAATTTTATTTTCTTGCAAGAAATAAGGTTTGAGTGGTTCCGTATCTCTGATATGTGGGAATTATTTCCTCCTTGTGTTCCAAGATTCCCGCTAGGTTGCGCTATAATTATAAGGTGACAAATTATACTCTTTTTTTGCTCCGGATGTAGTTGTGACAACATGCACTCTACCATCCGGGGAGACTTTTAGTCGCCCGGCCCGACATCATTTCATACAAATTGGAGGGAGGGAGAGAGCAGAGACAGACAGACACTTTCAAAAGAGCAAAGTTTTTAAGTTATTTTTTTTTCTCAGCTATCTGTATATACACAAGTATATTTTAGTTCCACTTGTATTGTGATTATATATATATATATATATATATATATATATATATATATATATATATTATATAAGCATACAAAGTTCCCCCACCTGTTGAAATTTATTCCGTCTGAAAAATGCTGAATTCGAGATCTTCCAAAGCTAACCTTAAATGCGTACATTGCAACCCGTAGTACCGTTCCGAACTGGATGAGAGAGACCGGTAGTTTTATGCAACTTATGACTCAATAATACTCGTAGACATTTGATAGTTTTGTATTTTTTTAGAGTATTACTGATTTGGCAAAGATTCATGATGAAAGTTCCTTTTGACTGGCTTTTGTGATTTTCGTTATAAATGGCTGAATCCAAGTTAACAAATCTGCAGTAACATGAATTTTGAATTTGAAATAGTTGGAAATGTTTCATTTCTAAATGAAAAGTAGGATACATTTTCTATACTCACTGAACGGGTTCCTAAATCATAAAAGATGATTAATGATGGCTACGTACGATTCTTCATAGGTTTATCTGGTCCAATCGATACGCGTTGTTATGTTGCTAAGGCGAATGTTATGCACATTAATAAAGGAAAAATTCGATATTAGTTTATACTCGATATGCGAAGTAATGAACATCGTTTCTATTATTAAGAGAATTTTAATTTGGGTCGGTTTGAAAGAACCTTTCTCATTTGGAAGTATATTTTATTCCAGATTATTGATATTTGCCTTGATGCGCTCAGTTACCTACCAAAGCGACTGGCCGTTGCTAAAAATTAGTCTAAAAATCTTCCCCTATGTACAGTGTCCCTTTATGATCTTGTCGGTCATGGCTCTCAGAAAATTTCCTGTCCACTGTACCTCTTAGTAAATTCTGTCTATGCTATCTCGAGGGTTATTCGTTGCTTTACTGTCTATTGCCTTCAATACTTCCTTATGAGTATAAAATTTTCCAAGCACTCTTTCCTTATCTTCTCTAGAAAATTCAATTGTCGCTTTTGAGCCTGTGTCATTTTTTTATTTTCTATTACATTTTGTCATTGCTCACATGCTCAGTCGGTGATATTCTCAGTATCCTTCTGTAGAACCATATTTTTGTTGCTTCCAGTATTTTCATCTGTGAGGAGATGGTTCAGCATTCATTTGCATATATAAAAACTTGTTTAACTTAAGTTTAGTAGTATTTTCTTTGTAAGGAAATTTTCAGCGATCGATAAAAGCCGGTAATTTGAAAAACATTTTTTCAAAGCAAGCAGGAATCACGTCATGGGATCGGCACATTGAAAATTATGTACAGTAATTAGAAGTCTGTAGTAAAAATTTTGCCTTGAAGCTTCAAGGTAAAATATTCTTTAGCACCCACTAAGCAACGCGAAAATTTCGTTAGAAACGAAAAAAAATTGAACAATCCTATATCGCAGTGAATGCAGAACAGACTCCTTACAGAGGCAGAGACATGAAGCAACAGGAATAGCGTTCTACAGAAGGATGCTGAGAATACCATGGCCTGAAAATGTGAGCAACGAGAATGTTTTAGAGAAAATGGAAACAAAAAGGACACTTATTCTTAACATCAGAAAGAGAGTCTTCTTTCCACATTATGTGTCGTAGAAATTACAACCGTTTTTCTGGTGTTAAGTATAAGTGTCGTTTTTATTTAAAACTGTCGATGCTTACAGGTTCAGTTCATGGTATTACCAGCATCCTTCTGTAGAGCCACATTTCAAGACTTCTCATCTGTGAGGTGATTGTCCAGTGTTCACATCCATATTGAAGCACATTTCTGTTATATCTCTTCCCAGTAAACAAGTTACTCTTATTCATGCTGTAGTGATTGTGATGAAACGATCATAATTAAAATAAAATATGGTTTTTAGGCAACCAAAGAGCACAGATTTTACACTCATTACCCCCCGCCCCCCCAAAACACACACACACAATCAGCGCGTGTTTTGTAGGAACTGTTTCCTGCTCACATGCAGAAGAAGTGGAGGTGAAAATTTTCAGCACTTTCTCGTATTATTCCGAATTTTAATTTTCTGTAAGTGACCGGAAGTTGAGAGTTCCCAGTCCGGATTCTTTTTTTTTTTTTCGCTTTATCCTGCCTTTTATGCAGTGCTTCGTTCACGTCAATCAACGGACATGCCAAGGCTTTCGGCTATGACACTGACACAGTGATCAACGTTCTTTCTCTCGCCAATTCTCCCGTAAATTCATAGAATGAAAAAGGGAAGAGAGATCCTGAAGTATTGATTTAGAGACGAGATTCTCATTTGGCGTGTGTGGAATCTAACCTTGAAAAAAATTGAAATAACGAAAGATAAGATGTAATTCGAGAATCAATATAATCAAAATGTAATTGTGATGGAGTTAGTAGCTAAAACTATATGCAAACTTTTATTAAAATTATTTATATTCTCTATTTGTATAGTTTATAAATTTGATTAGCTTTCATCTTATATATATATATATATATATATATATATATATATATATATATATATATATATATATATATATATATATATATATATATAAGCACTGGAGGAGCTTAAATATATTTAACGTATTTCTCTTAATTAGTTAAGTACCGAGAGCTACAAATTATAAATGTTCATAAATAAAAGCTGATATTTCCATTTTTTTTGTTGTTATGGTGTGAATAGAAGTTTACAGGATCATTTCCATTATTTTTACAATGGACGGTTTATGGTCATGTCAGGCTGAAGCAGCGGTTCTCGTGCGATCCCCGATGTTAAGCAACGTTAAGCCTGGCCATTACCTGAATGAGTGACCAGTTGGAAATATCAGGTACTGTAAGCTTGGATGTGCGCGTGGTGTAATGGATAACGGAGAGCAGAGTTCCAATTCTATTTGGGTTTGTTACGTTCACTTACGCGCAAAGGAAAGGTAAGCATCCACCTCCTTTGTCCCAGAAGACTAGGTATTGTATCAGTAAAATCACTGTCTCCAAAAAAGATTCTTACAATTAAAAATATTTTTAAGCTTTCCTCTCGCTTTCCACTACAATTTCGGCAAGAGTCCATGTTGTTCCCTTTCTCTGTCGGCTATCAACACCATGTCATCGGCATATCTAATGTTAATAATGACTCCTGCTCGGACGTCTAATTCTCTCGAGATTGCTTTATTGTAAAGGGTGAATAACTCTGGTGAGAGGACACATCCTTGTCTTTCACTCCTTTCTATTTTTGTATATTTACTGGATTCCTTTTCTATTTGATCTGCTCCCAGTATAATTTCTGTATTATTCTAATGTCCTTCTCATAAATCCAGCTTACCTAGCAAATGCTATATTTTATATTATTTCGGTGTTTTACAACATTTCCAGTATTTTGGAACTAGTAAACTCAATGTCTTTGCTTAGCGAGCAAGAACATGGTGGGTGAAATAAGAGAATTATACTGAATAAGTCTCTGACTTTAATCAAATTTTATCGAAAGCATTAATCTTCAATAAAAAGAAAAGAAAAGTAGGATCTTCTTGGAGACATGCGAGAGAATACAGGAGAAACAAACTATCTTTAAAAGATGTGCGGAACAGGGAAGATTTGTAGTTAATCAATATTTGATAAGCAAACATGAAAGTGAAGATTGTTTTGTTAATATTTCAATATTTGTTTGCGCCATCATTGTGAGGATCATGTGAATATTCAACAAGCAGCAATAAAGAGAGTTCTGATGATGACGTTACGAAAAAACTCAATGAAATCTATTGTTTCCTGTTTGATATTCAAATACTGCATGTGAGCGCGTTTGTTGCTTCTATTCTGTATGTCTTGGAATTGTGTTGTGGGCAACTTTACAAGATAATATTAGTCTTTGTTCGTGCTTTTACTGGTAAAGCGAAAATGTTATTTGTTCACAACAGAGTTGACCAGATCTTTTATTATTGGATTTCTTTCCCTTATAAGAGATTTATTGAACGAATATTTCGCTCTCTTTCACACCATACGTATAATAGAAATATGATTTCTTTATATAAATTTAGATCTTACTTCCAAGCTTCAGGTCGAGCGGATACATCACCTCAGATGAGGGACAAATAAACTGATCAAAATTTGTTTCCACACATATATATATATATATATATATATATATATATATATATATGTGTGTGTGTTTGACATTATATTTGAGGATATATGCACACACACTTTTACATACTAATAATAATGTTTATAGTAATGGAATAATGCCGGATAAAAATCCTTTCAAAAATTACTGTGGTTTACGTTTTGAGTACAAGAGTGAATCTAGCAGATAGATTCGTAGAAGTACTTACGAAAAAAACGGTCATTCGCAAATAGATTTATTCAAACCTTTACACTGTCAGTCAGGCGGAACTGGTCGAGATACACAGACTCTAAAAGTGATTTCTCTGAAGAAAAACAAAAATAAATACATGATGGATTCCTCTCGGAGGCACACTTTCCTTAGGACTTAGAAATTTAGGCCGGTTGTTATTAATTTCACTGTTATATATATATCATAGAAGATTGAAGCTCAATTACAGTAAATTCGACCTTGCTAACCAAACGCTCCTCTGTGGCCAAATGGATTAAGGCACGTCAAGCTAAATGACAGTTCCGTATAGGATACAGGTTCGAATATTTTCTGTGAAAATTTCTCGGACATTCAGGCCGGTAAATGTTGTTTAATACTATTTATTATAAACAGAACATTTACTTAAATATTTGTATCTATAAATAGAAGGTATAAACCTGAAAATATCATATATATATATATATATATATATGTGTGTGTATAACAATTCAAAGACGTGTCCCCCCCCACAAATAAAAGTAACGTTTATAGTAAGAAATAATGTCGGATAATATATATATATATATATATATATATATATATATAGAGAGAGAGAGAGAGATAGAGAGACATACCCCAGCAATAACAAATACTTTCACAAATAAATAAATGGTCCACTAGGGTAATTCAGGAACAACGTTTTTAAGGCAAGCTAATTATAGTGCTCAGTGTCAAGTGCTCGAGCATTATTAATAATAATAAAAAATACAATTTATTCTCAGTTTCACAGAGATTACAGCCACTCTTTAGGAGAGTTTGATGTAAAAAAATAAAACCAGCTAAATTTATTTTTGCATTATGTGTGTACGTGTATCTATTGGGAGGGATTACTTTAGTCTCGGCAGACAATCTGTATTTGTGAAATATTCTCCTCAGTATACAGGACCGAGCTGAATTTTAAAGGAGATCGGATGTTGCCCACCCAGCATGTCTTCCAACTCATTACAAAGAATTGCAGGAGTCGATATTACTTGGCACCGGCGTTTCCCCAAGTGTTTCCAGAAAGATGTCGGATGCAACATCAGAATTCTTTGGGATTCCGGCTCCAGATACATTTTTTAAATCATTTCACCGCAAGCAATAAAGTAATTGATATTCATTTAGATTTTTGAAGATTGAATGTTGCCAGGAAAGCTAAAAATCGGAAGATAGTTCCACAAGCATGAAATATGGGAAAAGGACCTATTAGCATAGAGCTTAAGGTTCCAACTACCAATCTGAAAAGTGACATTATGAGACCTAGCAGCCAATCTAGTACTGCGCTTCAAGGTACGAAAAGGAAAACTCATTACAATAATTACCATGAAAATATTTATAGAACAGGCAAAGGGAAGATACTTTACGCCGGTGGAAAAAGGACTGAAACAGGACAGAGAATATTGCAGATTCTTTAGATTTTGTTACGAATTTTCTAGATATAACAGAAGCACCAGACCAGATATCGCAGAAAGATTCGGTCCACGAACAAATGATAAACTTATATTCTCAGTGTTTACTAGTGAATAGGGGAAGTAACAAAGCAGCAGTGGCGTGGAATCAGTTTCCTTCTGAGATGAATTGCTCTATCAGGATGAGATTTTGTTTTTTGAAGACTTTCAGGAATCATTCTTGCTTACTTCGGATTATTACTAGGTGTATAGTATGTCATAGTCTGTTAGTTTTGAATACTTTATTTTAATGAAATACTATCTTAGAAGATAATAGAATTTGATTGCATTTCAATACTGGCTGATGTTTTACCCAGAAAAATATTACGTAACATTAAAGTCTCTGGAATCTGTTCTCTTTAAACTATGAAGAAGCCTCGTCTTGGATATTCCAGACCTGGGGGAGCACCTTTCTTATTACACTGGCGAAGTGGTGTTGGTGTCTACTGACGCATTGTGAAACCGATCACAGCGACTGAGCAATTTTTTCCTTGTACGCCGAGAGGTTTCCCACATTAAACCGACATTGAGTTACATAACTTCAGTGTGAATATTGATAAATACCCATCTATAATTAAGGTGACAGCCTAGGCACGCATCACACACACATATATATATATATATATATATACACACACTAGCAGCCTGGCCTCGCTATCACTTGAAATATTTTTGCCCTTCCTTGCTTTTAAAGGAGTGCCCTTTGCCGTACTGATGTTGCTACATGCCTATCTCATACTGCGAATTTCTTCTAAGCTCTATACTAAACATAAAATCTGTTACGAAAAAAATACTAAACAAAATGAACACAAAACGATCAGCTTTAAAAAAGGACTCGTAACTGGAAAAACCGAATGAAAAAAGAATGTTAAGTACTTTTTCACACCGAACCCAGTTCTACGAATCAGAATCAACGTTAAGTTTAAGCAAGCGAAAGAGCCAAATGGAATAAAGTGCCATGCAGATTTAAATTTTTCTCACGTGACGAATGCCGCTATCGATGCTAGTTAACATTCGTGTCAGTCAGCTTTTGGCTCTCACGCTGTCCAATACAATCTTTCTGCCCTTTTCGTGGCAGCCAGCTATAGGCTCTCACTCTGGCCAGTAGAAAATGGCCGCAAACTACATGAAAACTGCCATAGAAGCATGAAATAACCGATTATTTCCACTATCGATGCGAGTTGGGAAATGCAAAGTCGGTCTTTCTTGTCCTTCCTGCTAACTTGGAGCATGTGCATGTAAATTTTGGTGCAAATTCTTCGAAAATTGCGGCCGTGCATTCGTTAGACACACACATCCTGCCTTTATATATATGTTTTAAAAATGGATAGACGAATAAAAGAAAGCATTGAAAAGTTTATGGACAGTTCTTGGTTTGCAATATTTACTGAGTTAACGTTATTTTAGTAAAGAAAGAAAAACGATTAATGAAAAAAAAAAAAAAAAACATATATGAAGTTGGTAACCTTTAATTAGATTTGAAACCGTGAATTCTTTGTGTAAATGCACACAAATATAAATACAATATTTCCTTTTGAATAAGCAATTTTGCAAGTGGAAATACATTCCGAATTTATTCAAGACGGATAAAAGTCTATTCTTCGGCGGGGAAAGAAAACACTCGTATTATTTTGAACAAGGCAAAAACAGAAAACAGACTTTTAAATATGAACTATTTCTTTAATGTTCAAAAAATGCGTGTAATAAATTGTAATAAATATGTTTTATTATTTTATGCTATCATACGGACGTTTAATAATTAACATTCTGTTTTGTAATCAAGTGAATAAAGCGGACATTTGTGATCCTACACCTCTGGGATTAAAACACGTGGCAGGAATTGCCCTTAGAGTAAAAAAATACTTATTCAAGCGATTCTTTTTATCGATATTGATATTGTGAAATAAGATATTTATAATTAAATAATATTTATATTCAGTATTTCCCAATATTTTTTCGTTTCTGCTTAAGTTTCTCTGTATAAAAAATTTCTTTCACGATTATTTTTTTTTTTATATCTGCGCTTATTATTTTAAGCTGCATATTTTTTT